TGCTTAGATATTTTCACTTGTACTCTCAATTTCAGATTTGAACAAACCCCTAAAAAAAATTATATTACTTTTCTTACAGACTTAATTGTCTTGTCTGGTGTAATATTTTAAATAAAATACTAGCTTTTTGACTAATTAAAAAATTATAAGTAATGTGTGACTTTATATAAAAAATAATAATGCAGTATGCTATTTTTATTAAATTAATTTAAAAATAAAAAGTTGAAAACATGAATTAAGAAAGACAAAAAATACAGATCATGTATTTTCCATAAAATATTCAATATTAAAATCATCCATGTTTGAGCAAATCTACATGCTTCTGGCCGGTAAATATTTCACGTACTAATAAACCACAACTAATACTGTCTGAAATAGTTTTTTTTAAACAGGTAGCTTATTTTACTAAAATAAAGTGCATTCAAAATAATAATTTAATCACAATTGCCGCTGTCTGAAATAGTTTTTAAAACATGTAACGTGTTCTACTTTTGCTATTTACTTAATTTACTTAAATAATGCTTTACTTTACATAAAAAATAATAATGCAATAATGCACTTGTATTTTTAATAAATAAAACATTTATTTTTATTGGTTGTAAAAGAACAGTGTAAATGTGAGAATCAGTATTGGTCCAGTTTAATTTAATTTGATTATGATTTGTGCTCTGACACTCATCAGTCACTCTGACCAATCTGGACGACGCAGATAACGGCCGCAGGTCTCACGAGCAGGCGGTTCTGCTGGATGAGTATGTTCTTCAGACTCTGATCTGTGCTGGTGAATCTACAATGTACAGAACTAGTTGAGTTTAAGTAAGAGTATTTTGTCTGGCAGGTCAAACCCGCTGGTGAACCTGAACTTTGCGGTGTTCCTGTATAATCAGGGCGATAAGAAGGCCGCCTTGCTGCAGTTTCAGGAGATGGAGAGAAAAGTCAACGCTCAGGTCGAGAATATCAGCAACACTGACTTTGACCCAGAGGTAACACGTTTTGGCCACAAATTCTCATCACTGTAATGTGTCCCAAAATATGTACTTTTTTAATTTTTTCTTTTGCTGTTATTATTTAATTTTTTCTTATTACTTTAATACAGTGACAAAAATCATGGAAACAATTAAAACAGTATAATCCGTGTATCATTCGATCATTCTTTTTTGATTTAATATTGAAAGTAGAAAAATGAGAAAACGGCTCCTTTTTGTTTTTTTTTGTTCTTTTCCATATTTTATGAAAATCTTGCGTTGCAATGTGAGTGCGCAGTAGCTCACGCTGCGCACAAGTGCATATCCTTTTGAGATATCAATTATAATCAATTTTAATAAAACACAAGACTGCATTATATAACTCTAACAGTAGGCTATTTAATATCTGTTGTTCTCCGGTTGTCAGTCAGAATGACAGTTCTTGCGTGAACATAGTGAATGATCGAATGATACACGGATTCAGTATAATACCATGATTTAAATAATAATATAATTATTTTTGCATTTATAATAATATGAATTTGTGAGAAAGCAGGCATATTATATTGTAAAAGGATTGTAAGATTGAAAACATTTTAACTACTCTTGTTATTTTGATAAGAGCATTAAAGCTGATAATCCTCACAAACTTTGTTAAATCCAACAAATCTGTGAATCACATTTAAGCGTCAGTCCTGGCCCGTCTTGACCCAAAAATCATAACAAACAAAAAGTATATATTTTGTACAAATTATATATATATAGTGTGTGTGTTGCAGTTCTTATTACTGTAATAGTGACAAAAATCATTTAAAACCAGTATAATAAATGCCATGATGTATACATTTTTTACAATTTAAATAATATATAAATCTTTGTATATATTTTTATTATAAATATGCATTTATAATAATGAGAATGTGAAAACATGCTTATTATATTATAACAATTTTTTTTTTAAATTAATTAATTTTTAATTTTTAGAATGTTTGCTTAATAAAATGTAAAAAAATTTTTTAAATCATATATATATCATATATAAATGTATTTATTATGTTTTTTTTTATTATTTATTCATTATTCATGATTCACACACATTCTCACATTGCCGTTGAATCACAGGAGCTCTGGTCTCTTTCTCACACAGCTGGTAGAAATGGCTCAGAAACTGGGCGCCGCTCTACAGGCGGGTGAGAACCTGTACTGGAGCAAACTGGGCAAAGACAGCAAGACCAGCCAGCGGTCCTCCTCCAGCAAACCCAGCAGCTCCCAGCAGCCCCTGGGCACCAACCAGGCCCTCGGTCAGGCCATGTCTTCAGCCGCAGGCTACAGCAAGAGCATGCAGATCACCGCAGAGCCCGAGGCGGATGTGAGCAGCGCCCCATCTCCCCCTACAGTCACTCCCGGAGAGCCCGAGGATGAGGATGAGGAGACGGCCGAACCAGCCAAACTCAAAGAGAAGAAGAGTAAACCGAAAGCAGCAGCTGAATAGAGCTCTATCTATATCCAAAGCTGAAGGGGTTTATAACTTATCAATGTACAGCGTTTATATAGAGGTGAATTAAAGTGCAAAGTTACAATCTTTAGGTGTCTGTTTAAATGGTGCATTATATTAATGTAGATGATTAATTTGTGTTTTCCACCTTTAGAAAAACAATAATTGCTTAAGGAAGTTGTGCATAAAAAGCATGTCATTATCATTTTGTACTTTGTAACACGGTTACACACCCTGCATCATATTTGCTGAATGAAATCCAATACTCATTTCTTGCTCATTTTGAGGTGCTGATTAAAGCAAGAAGCCGTGGTTTACAGTGAATTTATAACAGCTAAGGGGCGTTGTTAGGTAGTACGACGCGAAGCGGAGTGACTAAAACCCCCTTAAGCTGTTATAAATTCACTGTAAAGCACGGCTTCACGGGGCTTATTGCTTTTATAAAACGGTTATTCCATATACGTAGTAAGGTTTCACAAAATAAAACAGAGCAAATAAAGTGTAATGATATTAATAAAAACAGTATTCTTCCACCAAACAATGTAGCTCCTCAGAAACAGTTGTGGTTGCTACAAAGTAGCACACAGAAGTACACAAAGGTGTGTGTTTGTAGAGTCATTTACAACAGCTTCGAACATGGCTCAGCCAATCAGAATCAAGGACCGGAACTCTCCGTTTTATAATCCAAAATTAGTGCCTATTCTGCTTGAGCACATCACTTTTTCTCACAAAATATGCATTTCAGTGTATTTGTGCATTTTGTGAAGTCGTCTTGTGTTCTCCCTTAATCAGCAGAAAAACTGCCGCAAAGACATGATTCCTGTCTGAATGCGAACAGATTACAACTATTTGTTCATTTCTCAGCCCTTTTTTTAACATGTATGGAAGATTGTGAAGACATTATTTTATGCCTAATCCTGATTTCCAATTTTTCACTTCTTTGCAGATTGTAGGTTAATATATATAAATATATACAATTAAATAAATTATATATAATCAAATATATATTATCTTTATTTGTATTTTGTAAAAAAAAAATATATAATTTTTTTTAACTTAGCATCATCAAATTAGGTATTTATTTATTTTTTTTCCCAAATCTGCAGATTTATTTTTAAGATGCAGGCTGTGTAATACAAAGAAACCGAGTCATTTTATACCCAGTACAGAAGTGTTTTATTTATATAAAAATATTCCATACTCAACTTAACAGAGCTTATATTTCTAGTCTTAACGTTTATGATTGAAGGACGTTTTGCCCGGTAACTCTTAAAGACTTTGCTGCATAATCACGTGTGCAAACTAGAACCCTAAAACATTTCATATAGTCTAAAAAGTTGCATGAATGTGAACTTTCTGTTAGTTTCTCACACCAAGACTCAACGTCTGCTGTGTTTGAACAACAAAACCTTCTTCAAGTATTGCTGATGAAGTTTCATTTGCTCCATTAGTAGCCAGTTCACGTGACATTAAACTAAAAAAACATGACTCTATGATGTTGCCTATTTCGAACCACGCGAACACTGATTTCAAATCTAAATACAGTGATGGACACTTTTTTGCCGGAAGGTTGAGAAATTAACAATGATGTTAAAAGTCAACTCTTTTGTTGGTTTGAGAAACTAACAGCATCAATACGAAGTGTTACAGAAATACAGAACGAATCCATGAGGTTCATGATCCGAGGCATTTTGAACATCTTGCCTTATTCACGAAACACAAACACATTTGTGTGTAAACTGTTCATAAAAGCATTCGTGGTTCATTAACTTCAAAACTGCTTTACAAACACTGCTCAACGCTTCTACAACTATGCATTCGTAATTTCGAACCACGCGAACACTGATTTCAAATCTAAATACAGTGATGGACACTTTTTGCCGGAAGGTTGAGAAATTAACAATGATGTTAAAAGTCAACTCTTTTGTTGGTTTGAGAAACTAACAGCATCAATACGAAGTGTTACAGAAATACAGAACGAATCCATGAGGTTCATGATCCGAGGCATTTTGAACATCTTGCCTTATTCACGAAACACAAACACATTTGTGTGTAAACTGTTCATAAAAGCATTCGTGGTTCATTAACTTCAAAACTGCTTTACAAACACTGCTCAACGCTTCTACAACTATGCATTCGTTAAAAAGCCTCAGATGGGCTTGTCAAACTTTAAGGCTGGGTTAAGACAGATGACAATTCACATAATCGAGATTAATTAGTACGTCCCAAATAAAACATTAAAAGTCATACGTCAAAGGTGTTTGGATGGTACATCATGGCTGAAAACCTTTGACTAATAAGAATAAATGACGTCTTTTGTATATACAGATTCATGTAACCTTTAAAAACAGGAAGCATCATAAAACAGTCATCATTAACGCCACCTACAGTACATGATTCACACAGATAACCTGCTGATCAAACCTGAATGGATGGAAGAAAATTACGATTCCTCTTCTTATTATATACAAATGATGCTGGCTCCAATGTACACAAACCTACAGCTAGATTTCCAGCCTTAACAACATTAAGATACGTTTAAGACTAGAATAACGAATGGTACTTAATAATATGTGCACTGAATAATGGCCACAACACCGTCGAGGGAAGCTGGTGATCTAAACTATTAACTATTCGGGAATTATTTCGACTTTCAGGTTGACCCTGGGAACATTGCTTTAATTACTTCTGCTTAATTCCATTAAGATAAGAGAGCCTCACGTTACCTAGATTTAAAAAAATACATCACTGGATAAACCTGGTTAACCTGAAGTGCATCGACGGCCTTCTGGTTCTGCTACGTATTAACGTTCATACACCAAATGAAGGAGTGTTTAGGAATTCAATGAAGATTTGAGATGTTTATAAGACTCTAAAATAATTCTCTCGTTCGCTTTCATCCGTCCCAATAGCAGCCGCAGGTCTTCTGCACCTGTTGAGTATGATCTCTTATCATAATTTTAAAAAAAGTTAGTAGTTCATCAAAAATAAAAGTTCTGTCATCATTTACTTGCCTAAAACCATTTGACTTCTGCACTATTTCTTTTGGAATAAAGAAGGTCGTTTAGGTGAGCGAATGATGACCGAACGTTCATTTTTGGTTAAATTAACCGTTCAAAAAAAATGGCAGCGGCTGGTTCATTGTGTTGTCTTTCACAATTTCAGACAAAAGTAGCAACAACAAAAGGACAGTGCACTGCATCTCCAACTGGTTTTGCTCTGTCGTTTGATGCCCTGTGAGTCTGTTTCTCCAGCTTTAGGATCTAACGACGAGGACGTGTCTTCAACAGCATGGACGAGAGGCGTCTCTTAGAGCTCAGGCCGAGGCGTGACCTCTGAAAACACAAGTCCTTCGGCTGATATGGCGTCGCCCAATCCCACAGTCCTAAGCGGCTGTTTGCACACCAGGACCGGCGTGAGATGGAACGAGACGTTCCCTCTGCGCCACATGGTGACCGGTCGGGTCGGGTCCACCGCTAGGCTCTCCCTCGGCTCTGAGAAGGAGCTGTGCAAACACATTTGTGTGTAAACTGTTCATAAAAGCATTCGTGGTTCATTAACTTCAAAACTGCTTTACAAACACTGCTCAACGCTTCTACAACTATGCATTCGTTAAAAAGCCTCAGATGGGCTTGTCAAACTTTAAGGCTGGGTTAAGACAGATGACAATTCACATAATCGAGATTAATTAGTACGTCCCAAATAAAACATTAAAAGTCATACGTCAAAGGTGTTTGGATGGTACATCATGGTTGAAAACCTTCATGACTAATAAGAATAAATGACGTCTTTTGTATATACAGATTCATGTAACCTTTAAAAATAGGAAGCATCATAAAACAGTCATCATTAACGCCACCTACAGTACATGATTCACACAGATAACCTGCTGATCAAACCTGAATGGATGGAAGAAAATTACGATTCCTCTTCTTATTATATACAAATGATGCTGGCTCCAATGTACACAAACCTACAGCTAGATTTCCAGCCTTAACAACATTAAGATACGTTTAAGACTAGAATAACGAATGGTACTTAATAATATGTGCACTGAATAATGGCCACAACACCGTCGAGGGAAGCTGGTGATCTAAACTATTAACTATTCGGGAATTATTTCGACTTTCAGGTTGACCCTGGGAACATTGCTTTAATTACTTCTGCTTAATTCCATTAAGATAAGAGAGCCTCACGTTACCTAGATTTAAAAAAATACATCACTGGATAAACCTGGTTAACCTGAAGTGCATCGACGGCCTTCTGGTTCTGCTACGTATTAACGTTCATACACCAAATGAAGGAGTGTTTAGGAATTCAATGAAGATTTGAGATGTTTATAAGACTCTAAAATAATTCTCTCGTTCGCTTTCATCCGTCCCAATAGCAGCCGCAGGTCTTCTGCACCTGTTGAGTATGATCTCTTATCATAATTTTAAAAAAAGTTAGTAGTTCATCAAAAATAAAAGTTCTGTCATCATTTACTTGCCTAAAACCATTTGACTTCTGCACTATTTCTTTTGGAATAAAGAAGGTCGTTTAGGTGAGCGAATGATGACCGAACGTTCATTTTTGGTTAAATTAACCGTTCAAAAAAAATGGCAGCGGCTGGTTCATTGTGTTGTCTTTCACAATGCGATTTCAGACAAAAGTAGCAACAACAAAAGGACAGTGCACTGCATCTCCAACTGGTTTTGCTCTGTCGTTTGATGCCCTGTGAGTCTGTTTCTCCAGCTTTAGGATCTAACGACGAGGACGTGTCTTCAACAGCATGGACGAGAGGCGTCTCTTAGAGCTCAGGCCGAGGCGTGACCTCTGAAAACACAAGTCCTTCGGCTGATATGGCGTCGCCCAATCCCACAGTCCTAAGCGGCTGTTTGCACACCAGGACCGGCGTGAGATGGAACGAGACGTTCCCTCTGCGCCACATGGTGACCGGTCGGGTCGGGTCCACCGCTAGGCTCTCCCTCGGCTCTGAGAAGGAGCTGTGGAAGTTCAAAGGCGCCTTGAGGACCACCTTTGTAATATCCACCGCTTGCAGGCCGCAGGCTTGACTGCTGGCCACACGAGCGCCCGCGGCCACCGCCGCCACCTGGTTCCCCCAGTGGCCGTCCACCGTAGCCAGGATGTGGTACGCTAGCGTGTGGAAGTGGATCCGGGTCAGATCGGCCTCGGATTCTGGGTCCGCTCGGCCGTGCTGCTCCAGGACCCAGAGCAGGATGTCGCTGACGCGGCCCACGTCGGGTATGCCGTCCCAGGAAGTGAGGTCGGCGTGAGGTCCGCCTCCGGACTGAGCCAAAAACAGCAGCTCCTGTTCGTTCAGACCGATGGAGTTCACGATGGGCATGACCTGCTAACAGAAGAGCACGGAGGAACCTGAATGCTGAAGATGCAAACCTTGTCGTTCAGCTTTGATTTACACTAGAATACTGGAGTTGCTTTCTTTAAATGACTGATAAATACAAAAGCTTCCATGTATGACACAAAGAAAAGATTTGTGACCCTGGAGCACAAAACCAGTCATAAGGGTCAAATTTGGGAACAAATGATTTTTGGCATAAAAGAAAAATCAATAATTTTGACCCATACAATGTATTTTTGGCTATTGCTACAAATATCCCCCAGTGACTTAACACTGCTTTTGTGCTGCAGGGTCACGTTTGACTAATGAATCTTCCAGTTGTTTATGATAAGGATTTATACATCATTTGTTTAATGATAGAGCTTGCACTCAGAAAAGTGAAATTCTTTTGTGAATATACACTGTTGTTCAAAAGTTTGGAGTCTATAAGATTTTTTTAACGGCTGCATTCATTTGATCAAAAATAAAGTAAAAACAGTAATTTGTGAAACATTACAATTTAGAAAAACTGTTTTCTATTTGAATGCGTTTTAAAATGTAATTTATTCCTGTGATCAAGGCTGTATTTTCAGCATCATTAAGGCCATCTGTGAGCATGCAGTTTGCCCGATTCATCATGTTGAATCGGCGAGAGTGAGAACTCTGATTGGATGTTCAGTTTAGCGAACAAGTCAGTGACCCAGAATTAAAGCGAAAGTGATGTAAACGAGTAAGGCTGTTCTAATGTAATGCGATCTTACCCAAGCATTCCAGTATGCAAATATTTTCATGACAACATGTGCCGCTTAAAACCAATAGTTATCAATTCAACATAATTGATATTCAAAAGGGAAAGCAAGCACTGCTTTGTTTACGTTGCGTATATCTCGTATATCCTTGTTTCGGTTTCTTCTTTTGAATGATGAATATGTACTACTGATAGCTGCTGATACAGACAGCCAATTCCTCTCACGCAGGCGCAGAACGCATGTGTTAGTGTGCAGTCTGCTGTAGTCTGAGCGGTGCGTTCAAGCAGCTTTTTGGTGCAGACGCAGTCGTTGCCATCACTGGATAAACCTTGAAATCGGCTTGGTGTGTCCCGGGCCTTTACTCCAGTCTTCAGTGTCACATGATCCTTCAGAAATCATTCTAATATGCTAATTTAATGCAGTTTTTTTTTTTTAAGAATGTAATCTATTTTGATGTTTCTATGATATTTCCAGGTCTGCAAATACTGCTTTGATAAAAGTCCTTGTTTGGACAAAAGTAGCACATCGGTATGGAAAAGTATCATTTAAAAAAAGTAACAATGTAGCAACGGAACACTATATGGTGTTACTTTTAAAAGTCACATTTGCCAACACTACTGTATACCACCAACAACAATCCTTCATATGTGCACCATATATCCTGTATATCTACTGAACATCAGCCTTCATTAAACCTACACATTTACCTCCTGCAGGATCCGGTTCATGTAGTCTCTGTCTGTCATACTAGCCAGCTCAAGGTGGATGGGCACCTCGTTCCTCACATCTGAGATGGCAACCACTGCCTGTATGAAGTCAGAACACAGAGCTTGAGAACTAATGTGTTAGATGCAGGAGTGAAGTGTCCAACAAACCTCAAAATATCCCTGTTACTCTGTCAGAGCATTACTGTTATTTTAAATCGGATGGACAATGAGCGATTCTGGTCTCGGACCTCTTTCAGTCGTTCCTCCCAAAGATCCCGGCCCATTCCTTCCATCATATGCAGTCCGGACAGAACCACCAGGTCCGGCTGGAACTCCTCCAGACTGGCCACGAATGTCTCCAGCGTGCTCATTTCACCATTGGACACGTCATGAGACAGTATAAAGCGGTTAGCCTGAGGAGCTCGTGAAGAACCCCACTGTTCACCTGTAGGGGGCGTCAGAGAGGAGACACAAAAACCCAACGGTTCCAATGAGCCAGAACATGACGAGTGGTAAGACCATGTTTGAAAAATATTAAAATTTACCCTTTTACTTTCTTAATCCATGTTTCTGGTCTTATGGTGAACGATTCATTTATGATTAGCAGATGTTGTTTTGAGCGAGTCTCACCTGACATGTACTCCAGAATGAGGTGGAACTCATCTGTCTCCTGTAGAGATTCGGGCGGGACTACGATCTGTTCATCCAGCATATCATGAAGCTTCGGCCCCACCGGACCACACAACAGGACCTGAGAGAAAACAGCACACTTTAGGAAACTATAATCAGGTATGAATGTGCTGCTTTTGCATTCTTAAAAGTGATCATAGTTATTGTATGAAGGAATTTTAGGACACTTCGACATATAAAACCATGATTGACTTTCATCATTAAAGAAATAGCTCACCAAAAAATGAAAACTTGCTGAAACTGTACTCACCCTCAGGCCATCTAAGATGTAGATGAGTTTGTTTCTTCATCAGATTTGGAGAAATGTAGTATTGCATCACTCGCTCACCAATGGATGTGAATGGGTGCCGTCAGAATTAGAGTCCAAACAGCTGATAAAAACATCACAATAATCCACACCACTCCAGTCCATCAGTTAATGTCTTGTGAAGACAAAAGCTGCGTGTTTGTAAGAAACCATCATTAAGGGGTTTTTAACTTAAAATTGTTGCTTCAGGCTAAAATATGAGTCCATAATCACGCTTCCTCCAGTGAATCAGGTCTGGTCTGAGTCAGGAGAGAAATCTGCACAGATGATGCACCGTTTACAAGCCCAAACAGTTCTTAACAAATATGTGAGTGGGTTTGTAAGAGGACAACAGGAGATTTTTCACTGGAGGAAGTGTTATTATGGATTATGGACTCGTATTTTGGCCAAATGGCCAACGGTTTGGTGATGGTTTAAAGTTAAAACACCTTAATGATGGATTTGTTTCTTACAAACACACACACACACACTCCAGTCCATTAATTGATGGTCTGGGGTCATATGGATTACTTGTGGATTATTGTGATGTTTTTATCAGCTGTCTGGACTCTCATTCTGACGGCACCCATTCACTGCAGAGGATCCACTGGTGAGCAAGTGATGGAATGCTACATTTCTCCAAATCTGATGAAGAAACAAACACATCTACATCTTGGATGGCCTGAGGATGAGTACATTTTCATTGGGGTGAACTATTCCTTTAACCGTCTAGTGATGCCCAGGTTTAAGTTTGTTTAGTAGTACAACAGATACTTACCACGAGTTCTGGGTTAGACGCCAGTTTCTGGCCAATAAGAGCAGCATTTCCACCCACATAAAGCTTGCAAGAAACAAGAAAAAAGTATTTTAATTCAAATTAAAATGCACAAGATCAATTACAAGTGTGTTTTGGAGCAAATAATTCTGTAATGTGACTCAGCATATATATATATATAATAAAAAAAAAAGGAACTCTTCTGGGAAATTTTCTGATTTTCTATCAAATATTAGATTGAAAGAGCTTATAAAATTGCCAGATTTTCTATATTGTTATGAGAAAAAATACTATTAAATTACTGCATATAATTTTCATTAACATTTTCATATAATGCACATTATTTGTTGTGAAAATAGCCTATTATAAGACTCATGGCCCACCCACTGTGCCTTCTAATTACTGCTGATTATGCCAAATTAAATTTGACACAGAAACTCAATTCCCCTCCGGACCCTCTCGTGCATTCAAATTAAACCGTCGGATCTCAAGGGCCAGATCCATTTACAGCACATGCTAAAATTAAACCAGATATTATAGGACATATGCAGAATCAGTGCTGTGTGGATGTCTAAATGGAAAGACAGATTAAAGGTCGCACACTTCAGCATCTGCTGTGAATTTCACCACACTTAGGCCTGAATCAGAGCAGTCAAACCTGTTGAACAGGATTTAGTGTGCTCAGAGACTAGCTAATCTCTGTCCAATCACTCTCTATTCATGCCCTGAGGGGAAACAATGTGATAGAGACCGCAAAACCCACTCCTACGGTCATAAAACGCTTTCTCGCACCTGAGCGCCGGGATATTCTGCAGCCGCCCGTGCGATCCTTTGAAAAACCTCCTTATCTGAGAAGAAGCGCTCTGCGGCGGCACCCTTCCCCATGTAGTGGACGAAGGCCTCTTTCAGGTCCTCTTTGTTGTGTAGCATCTCGTGGTCTCTGCCGGATCCAGGTTCGAGAGCGAGCGCCTGCAGCAGCCCCACCCCAGACACCACCACATCCACACAGGCATTCACCCTGACAGAGGAAACAAAGGCATGATGGGAAGGGCTCTAGAACAAACAAACCTGCACATGTTCAGACCTGCTGAGTGTAGGAACGAATGTGGCTCGAAATGTTGTGCAAATGTGAACAAAACTTACAAGTGCATCAAAAAATGAATCCATTAATTGATGATCTGAACAAACAAATCAATAACTGAATGAATAAATAAGCCACAACCTATTACTAGAAACATGGTTTGTTTGTTTGTTTAATTAACTTTGAGCTCTTTTATTTATATTTAATGCACAATGTAAGTAGATGACCAGGTGTAGATTTTACTGCAATACTGTTATATATATAACTGTGCATGTGACAAAAAAAATCTTAAATCTTGAAATCTGAACAAAAGGACACAAACAACAGAGGATCTAAAGAACGAATGTGGAAAACATAGAAGATAATAATGAACAATGTGTGCTCTGTCTGATCACAGTCAGGGTAACTCACCCCACTGCCACTCTCGCCCAGCGTCGGGCCGGCGCCGTGATGAGGGTCTGCCAGGCGCGTGCGATGGCCTCCTCCAGCTCTGAGCTGCCACTCGGCTCCATCTGCGGCAGGGATTCGCTGATGTAGTTTAGCATGCGGGCCGGCAGCTCCGGGTCAGTGTGGTACAAATACCCCATCCCCAACGCCAACACCGCCACCAGCACAGCATTCCTCCACATGACCTCGACACACACGCAACCTGTGAAACACAATCAGACAGTTTCTCTTCAGTCATGGGCTCTGACTGGGGCCTTTATCTAATGGCTTTTTTAGTCATGTACCATGGTAATACTATGGTTTATTTAGACACGTATCTTTGCTAATACCAAGGGGTTTGGACATGTATCACAATAAAACCATGTTTTTTGAATATGTATCATGGTTAACCCATGTTTTTGAATATGCATCATGGTAAATCAATTTTTTTTAACATGTATCATGGTAGAACCATGTTTTTTGGACATGTAAAATTGCAATGCCATTTCTTTGGACATGTATCATGATAAAACCATGTTTATTGGACATGTAACATGGTAAATCCACATTTATTGGACATGTAACATGGTAAATCCACGTTTATTGGACATGTAACATGGTTTTACCACGTTTATTGGACATGTAACATGGTTTTACCACATTTATTGGACATGTAACATGGTTTTACCACATTTATTGGACATGTAACATGGTTTTACCACATTTATTGGACATGTAACATGGTAAATCCACGACACGTATCTTTGCTAATACCAAGGGGTTTGGACATGTATCACAATAAAACCATGTTTTTTGAACATGTATCATGGTTAACCCATGTTTTTGAATATGCATCATGGTAAATCAATTTTTTGAACGCATCATGGTAGAACCATGTTTTTTGGACATGTAACATGGTAAAACCATGTCTTTCCCCCCATATGTATCATGGTAATACCATGGTTTTTGGACATGTACCATGGGTAGTACCATGTTTTTTCACACCCATCATGTTTTTCAACATATCCGCCAAACATGGTATTTCCATGATACAATAGTAATACCATGCTTTTGGACATGTATCATTGTAGGACTACGTTTCTGGACATGTACCATAGTAATACCATGTTATTTTGGACACTGAACATGTCACAGGAAGTAGACTGAAATCAATGCTTATCTATTTATAACACTGCAGTAAGCTGTGCATGTGCACAGATCTCTCTCCGTACCATCTCTGTTTGACAGGTTCATTAGACTGAAAGCTGATATTTATGCAACTTAAACCCATAATTCAATAACACCAGTAGCTGGCTAGTGCTAACAGCCCATTTCTGCTCATGTTTGGGGCTTTAAATCAACACGACAAATAAAATCACACATGATCACCTGGAGCATTTGAGTTGTTTGTATGGTGCTGTCGCTAAAATGACATTTCTGATTAGTGAGTAACATGTTGGAGTGAAATCAGTGAGCTAGCCACCATCAGTTTAACCATGTCTTTCCCCCCCATATGTATCATGGTAATACCATGGTTTTTGGACATGTACCATGGGTAGTACCATGTTTTTTCACACCCATCATGTTTTTCAACATATCCGCCAAACATGGTATTTCCATGATACAATAGTAATACCATGCTTTTGGACAAGTATCATTGTAGGACTACGTTTCTGGACATGTACCATAGTAATACCATGTTATTTTGGACACTGAACATGTCACAGGAAGTAGACTGAAATCAATGCTTATCTATTTATAACACTGCAGTAAGCTGTGCATGTGCACAGATCTCTCTCCGTACCATCTCTGTTTGACAGGTTCATTAGACTGAAAGCTGATATTTATGCAACTTAAACCCATAATTCAATAACACCAGTAGCTGGCTAGTGCTAACAGCCCATTTCTGCTCATGTTTGGGGCTTTAAATCAACACGACAAATAAAATCACACATGATCACCTGGAGCATTTGAGTTGTTTGTATGGTGCTGTCGCTAAAATGACATTTCTGATTAGTGAGTAACATGTTGGAGTGAAATCAGTGAGCTAGCCACCATCAGTTTACACAGCAATAAACAGTGCGATCACTTTATCTGTAAGATAATACAATCGAAACACACTTCGACGATCCGAACAGATGGACAGCTCACTGACCTGACAGATGATAATCGCAGAAGACACGAAAGAGAGAGTGTATGTGGAGAAGTTGAGTTGTTGTGTCACCCTTCTTGGTTTGGTTGAGGAAAGTCTCTGTGTTAGTGGCTAGCCGCTCCACTCTCTCCTGAGGCAACCTCAATGCCCTCGGAGATAAAATAGCAAATAAAATCAAACCGACAGCTAATTTATATTACCCAAAAAATTAATTTGAGCTCCAAAATGCATGTTGTTTTCAGCGTTTAACGCTTTAATTTGTTCTAAACTGTGTTGTTGGCTTTAGGAATACTGGCTAACTGCAGCTAAAGCGAACCAAAGTAACCAATCAGAGGCTCCGCCGAGCATCAATGACGTAACCGGAACATGACGTCGAGTGGATGTGCTGACGCTGACGCAAGGTGAAAATATCTTTGCCCGGCGCCACGTCTAAGTTTTCAGAGCTTAGCAAGTTTTTTTAATACAATGATACAACACACCTATATATATATATATATATATATATAAACAACAAACTACATGGAAATGAAATAATATATATATTGAATTTATAAATGTGTATGTATATATATATATATATTTATATGTGTGGTTGTACATACATATAGTTGCTTTTTTTGGTGTTTGGCTTAGTGTTATGTTAGAATCATTATTATACTCATACCTTTTGTTCTTTGATATTTGGAATTGTTTTTAGCTTTATTGCTTTGTTTTTCATTTAAATGTTAAGTTTTGAAATGTTGTTGTATGCATTTGTCATTTTTATTTAATTTCTTTATTTTTAAAATGTGTATAGGTAGTTGTAGCTTTTAGTTTTGGATCTGTTTTTAGTTGTTTTAATGCTACAATTGATTGCTTCTGTTGTCCTCATTTGTAAGTCGCTTTGGATAAAAGCCTCTGCTAAATGACAAAAAAAAATAAAAAAATATATATATATATATATATATATACAGTAAATATACACAGGTAGTAACTGTATATATACAGCTATAGTATATATACAGGTAAATTACATGTAAAAATTAAGAACGTCTAATTAGATTAAATTACATTTTAATACCCGTAATCAGACTTTAGTTACCTTTTTATTGATTGCATGATTACATATTATTCACACAATAGCAATACATTATTGACAATTTATTGATTCTCCCAAATGCCTCTTTTTCATCTTTTAAATGTTCCTTTCTGAAATAGCCTACCGCTTATATTCCCTCACAAAGTCTTCCAGTTTCACACAAAGACCGGTCACTATAGTCAGGTGGCTATAATTACACAGAAAATTGAGAGGCCACAGCATTTGACCACTGGATTGACAAAAATCAGTGTTTTCTCAACATTTCAACATTGCATCAACTACTGATGAACAGTAGTTTTTTTTTTATCACTCAGTAGTTTATTTAACCATGTATTACCATGACTTTTGTCTTCCAAACACGTTAAAATGCACAAATTCACTTTATTTCTTGGTTACATATTTCTTATTTGCAGGGATTTTTTCTCATTGAACCTCTTTCACCTAATTTAATTACTTCCAAAATAATTAAAAATAATAACAAAAATAATTAAGTATCATATTTGCATGTTTAGGGTTCTGTGACGCTGGTTAACGGTCACACGACATGCAGGTAAACAAATAAAATATATTTCATTTTTTTAGTAAGTGTTTTATTTTGATTGATGTTATTTTAAAAAGATGTATTTTAATTTGACATTTTATGATTTAATTAATTATTCGCTTTTCTTTAAATTCATGAATGCCCTGCAGTTCCTTCACAAAATTACAGTATGTCCTGATCTACAGCATTATCTTAAATGAGACTAATCAGAGTTTGTGTAGCAATTAAACTTGCTGCATCCGAATAGAACTTTTGTCGATATGCAATTACAAGTAGAGCATGACAGTTTTTTTTCCAACTTCCAAATGTATATATATATATATATATATATATTACTGTGAACCCCAGAGGCACGAACTCATTTACCTGATATGGATTTTGGACGTGCGGAAGGCAGTGCAGCAGTTTATAAAATAAACAAGAACACAGTCAGCAAATACTAACACTTTTGCATCAGTTCACTACAGTGCTGGATTCTGTTCATCAGCATCTCTTTAACCAAAAAAGAACAGTGGCAGTGGTTTCTTACACATACACAGTCTTAACAAAGTCTCTTGTTTATGCAACTGACCCCATATTTCCAGGTCATTTTACTAAGGCAATATACAATGTTTGTACAATAATGAAAATAGCGTCAAGAATGAGTTCTCGTGTTGGTCTGCAGGTGGCGGTATTTTCCCTCTAAAGATCAAAGCAGCTGATGCTGTTTAATTTAGCTTTAATTCCTCTTGACATAAATACATTTGGACTGGATTATTAGATTTAATACAGCTAGAATTAATCATTTAACAGCTAGAACTCTACATATGACTCTCTCCTATAATGAAACCATCGTTGTAATAAATATATTTACCAATAAATCAATTAAGTGATCGATAAAATCGTTCATCATTAAAAACGATAGTGTTTTGTCTCAAAAGGCAATGTTACAGTCAACAGACAGTTTCGTGAGGTGAACCTGAACAGACTGAGAGCCAAAACTCACCTAGAAAATTATTACAAAAAAATGACCCCCTCAGAAAATTGTGTAAGTCATAAACTGGTTGTTGATTTAGACTACAGCTAAATTAAAACCGTTTTAACATTTGAAAACATAAAGCAGGTTCTCTTTAGGGAATGAATTTGAAAGGCACTTATGAAGCGACACAGAAAAACGTCTTTAACAGTGCACTGCAAAAGGGGAAAGCAAGACATTATTGAGAATGACTTGTATAAACAAGGATTTTGAACTTGCGACATGTTGCATTTTAAAGCAGATATCTAAATCTGAGTAGTCAATGCACTAGGCAAACGTGTATGTATACTATGGCTTGTTTTTCCATGGCATGAAAAAAACTAATTGCAACTTTTTATCTCACAATTCAGGCTGTTTTCTCGCAATTCTAAGAAAAAAAAGTAATGATTCCAAGGAATAAACTCAGAATTCCAAGTTTCTCGCAATTCTGACTTTCCCCCCTCACAATTCCAAGTTTATATGTCTTAATTCAGACTGTTTTTCTTGCAATTCTGAAAAAATATCGGACTTTCTCACAATTCCACGTTTATATCCTGCAATTCTGAGTCTATATCCTGCACCCCTGAGTTTATATCCCGCAATTCTGAGTCTATATCCTGCACCCCTGAGTTTATATCCCGCAATTCTGAGTCTATATCCTGCACCCCTGAGTTTATATCCCGCAATTCTGAGTCTATATCCTGCACCCCTGAGTTTATATCCCGCAATTCTGAGTCTATATCCTGCACCCCTGAGTTTATATCCCGCAATTCTGAGTCTATATCCTGCACCCCTGAGTTTATATCCCGCAATTCTGAGTCTATATCCTGCACCCCTGAGTTTATATCCCGCAATTCTGAGTCTATATCCTGCACCCCTGAGTTTATATCCCGCAATTCTGAGTCTATATCCTGCACCCCTGAGTTTATATCCCGCAATTCTGAGTCTATATCCTGCACCCCTGAGTTTATATCCCGCAATTCTGAGTCTATATCCTGCACCCCTGAGTTTATATCCCGCAATTCTGAGTCTATATCCTGCACCCCTGAGTTTATATCCCGCAATTCTGAGTCTATATCCTGCACCCCTGAGTTTATATCCCGCAATTCTGAGTCTATATCCTGCACCCCTGAGTTTATATCCCGCAATTCTGAGTCTATATCCTGCACCCCTGAGTTTATATCCCGCAATTCTGAGTCTATATCCTGCACCCCTGAGTTTATATCCCGCAATTCTGAGTCTATATCCTGCACCCCTGAGTTTATATCCCGCAATTCTGAGTCTATATCCTGCACCCCTGAGTTTATATCCCGCAATTCTGAGTCTATATCCTGCACCCCTGAGTTTATATCCCGCAATTCTGAGTCTATATCCTGCACCCCTGAGTTTATATCCCGCAATTCTGAGTCTATATCCTGCACCCCTGAGTTTATATCCCGCAATTCTGAGTCTATATCCTGCACCCCTGAGTTTATATCCCGCAATTCTGAGTCTATATCCTGCACCCCTGAGTTTATATCCCGCAATTCTGAGTCTATATCCTGCACCCCTGAGTTTATATCCCGCAATTCTGAGTCTATATCCTGCACCCCTGAGTTTATATCCCGCAATTCTGAGTCTATATCCTGCACCCCTGAGTTTATATCCCGCAATTCTGAGTCTATATCCTGCACCCCTGAGTTTATATCCCGCAATTCTGAGTCTATATCCTGCACCCCTGAGTTTATATCCCGCAATTCTGAGTCTATATCCTGCACCCCTGAGTTTATATCCCGCAATTCTGAGTCTATATCCTGCACCCCTGAGTTTATATCCCGCAATTCTGAGTCTATATCCTGCACCCCTGAGTTTATATCCCGCAATTCTGAGTCTATATCCTGCACCCCTGAGTTTATATCCCGCAATTCTGAGTCTATATCCTGCACCCCTGAGTTTATATCCCGCAATTCTGAGTCTATATCCTGCACCCCTGAGTTTATATCCCGCAATTCTGAGTCTATATCCTGCACCCCTGAGTTTATATCCCGCAATTCTGAGTCTATATCCTGCACCCCTGAGTTTATATCCCGCAATTCTGAGTCTATATCCTGCACCCCTGAGTTTATATCCCGCAATTCTGAGTCTATATCCTGCACCCCTGAGTTTATATCCCGCAATTCTGAGTCTATATCCTGCACCCCTGAGTTTATATCCCGCAATTCTGAGTCTATATCCTGCACCCCTGAGTTTATATCCCGCAATTCTGAGTCTATATCCTGCACCCCTGAGTTTATATCCCGCAATTCTGAGTCTATATCCTGCACCCCTGAGTTTATATCCCGCAATTCTGAGTCTATATCCTGCACCCCTGAGTTTATATCCCGCAATTCTGAGTCTATATCCTGCACCCCTGAGTTTATATCCCGCAATTCTGAGTCTATATCCTGCACCCCTGAGTTTATATCCCGCAATTCTGAGTCTATATCCTGCACCCCTGAGTTTATATCCCGCAATTCTGAGTCTATATCCTGCACCCCTGAGTTTATATCCCGCAATTCTGAGTCTATATCCTGCACCCCTGAGTTTATATCCCGCAATTCTGAGTCTATATCCTGCACCCCTGAGTTTATATCCCGCAATTCTGAGTCTATATCCTGCACCCCTGAGTTTATATCCCGCAATTCTGAGTCTATATCCTGCACCCCTGAGTTTATATCCCGCAATTCTGAGTCTATATCCTGCACCCCTGAGTTTATATCCCGCAATTCTGAGTCT